TCTCAGTGATTTGATGATAATCCCTTTTATCTATCGATGTAATTTTGTTTCTGTATTTTCAGTTCCAGTCGATCATACGCTGAGTATGTTTAGTGATCCCTGAGAAACTTGTTTTGTAAATCTCATAGACAAACATTACTTCAAGAAGACAACACTCACACCAAAGAACCTTCAGCGAATGTCGAAGTCTGAAACTGAAGATTAGAGACTATCGAGTACGTGATCTGAAGCGGTATTCAGTGATTACGAGCCTATCTACAAATGTGTGAAGACTGCTCTAGCTTCAGCGAATGATGATGAGACCTCCGTGTTATTCCAGCATTCAGCGATCAAAGGAAGCTTGCTTAACACGATTGTTGTTGTCTTGTCTTTTTGCACACAAAGGAAAAACCCATACCCTTACTAAAGTTAGTACGGTACGGAGCCGATTAGTCGACTCTTTGTCCACCAACTTTAGGCAAGGATGTCTACTCAAGAATAGTGTTTTTGTACTATTCACTGTAGCAAAGGACAAGCCTTCCTCTTAAGGCTTGACACACACTCTAAACCCTACCTTACTGCATTAAATGTTCACTTAATGCACTGGGTATAAATACAAGTGTTTTTTCTCCATGCAGAGTGCGCACATCTCTCCGTTATCCTATTCTTACTTCAAGCATCTTCTAGCTTAAGTAAAGGATCTTCCTTTTAGCAATCTCTTTTCTTGTATTTGCTAAAGCTCTGTGTGTAACCAAAGGTTGTTTAGATAGGTTTCCTATACCTTATCTTTCCACAAACAATCTTGTAAAATCTGTATTGATCTTCTCTATCAATATATATTTTAAATTTGAAAACTTTGTGTTTGTATTCATCCCCCCCTTCTACAAACTGTTTCTTATCTTGTAGACCATTTCGGGACCAACAGGCAGTTACAACATACCCCAACCCGATACTAACAAAATAGGATCCAAATTCATTTGGGTACCAAAATCTATTTGATCTAATTTTGCAGGTGTATCGATTTTATGCTAATCAGAATTTCATATCAGTGATACACTAATGCAGTGGGAGTTGTAATCTGTTCCAAAAAGGCTTTTGAACAATTCAGTTCAGAACCCGTGCTTTACCGAGTGTGGTTTCTAAACACTTAGTTTATGACCTGTGCTTAACATGTTTTCTTATTTTTTTTAATTTTTGAGCTGAATCGAATCATTTCTATAATCTACTTTCTAAGGGGAGTCTCTAGAAGTTCAATAAATGTTTTTGGGAAGTAAATAGTTTTTTTTAAAACAAGTACATTTTCTGAACAGGTATTTCATGAGATTTTACTTGCGTAATTTCTCATCGAACATAACTCCAATACTTGTTTCAGCTATTCTTCAAACTATTGTCATCACGTCTTTTATAATAATATTATTTTCGGTGATAATACGCTCGTTTGTATTCAAAAGTTGTTTTATGATATTTTTTTCCTTGATTGATATACATTTCATTTTTTAATCAAAATCTGTAATCTCGTACTTACAGATCTTCATTCATTTCTCTTGCATATCGAATAATAATTGCCCTATGAAGACTCGCTTTCGCTACGGCTCCGGTGGGTTCCCAAATCAAAATATAAAAACTCACATTGGGTTTAGGGTCAAATCACCGATTCTACCCCTACATACATGGTTACTAGATACCCACGGAGACAGCACTGCACGGGTCAATACGCACAGCGCGGGCAACTCCATTTAACCGGTGGTTTCCTTCGAACCTACTTCTTTTATGAACTCATTGGAAATCATATAAAGACAACGTTGTCGCATCATCCTTTTATTGATTTTGCTTAAAGCCAAATATTTTGATCAAATTTTATATGATCATTGTGCTTTATTTGCAATTACATTTTGATCAACCATTGTGATCAACTGAGCATATTGTTAAATTTTAGGAGGGACTAAGTGCTTATCAGAAATACATCAATGGAATGTCAGAACCGACAAACCTACCCATGAGGACAACCATATCTGAGTGAGCTTTAAATCGAAAAGGGTTTGTGTGCAGAGTTTAAAATGAAAAAGAGAGGAGTAGTTGTTGTGAGCTAAAAGAATTGACGAGAGTTGTGTTAGGATTAAAAGAACATAAGAATCATGTTCCAAACTTCTAAAATCCGGGCATACCACGCAATCTATTAGTTCTCAATTCTTTCGAGACTAATATTGAAAAAGGCAAAGCCTAGGCCAATTATTGTCACAATGTCATCAGCTACTCATTTTATTTCTTAACAGATAAGTGTTTCAATAACACTTGGGGCACGCAACTCACAATCTATCAATTTCTCATTCGAAGAAAGTTGATATTGAAACAGAAGGATATATGTCCCCCCCCTTCAAGTCTTTTTGATCAGTAATTGAGTCTGATAAATTTGTGTAGTCCACACTGTTTATCATTGGAGCCTAATCAGAAGCATATGTTGCTTTATCTTTCTACACTACACAGATTGCATTTTATTTGTTAATTTGCCAAAACATTCATAGATATGCTATTTTTAAACTATCGATGATTGAATGCAAGACCTGGTGAGATAAGCATCAAAAAGTCTCATATATACAGTACATCCGTTGTACTGAGTATATCTGTTATACTCACAGGCCAATCTTTTTATAAGATTGAAAACAATTTCCTACATTGAAATTGGTTGTTATCTTCTCATTCCCTTAATCTGAAAAAATTAAATAAGTGGATTTGAAAAGATCTATTTACAATTTCATGAATTGACGGCTTTCGCGAGAAATTTCATTCATTCTTGTGTATGATGTCATTATTCTCATTTCATCATAAGGGGGAGTACGTAATAATGAATGAAATGCCCAATTCCGAACATTATAAGGGGAATTTGTTTAAAAGATCAAGGGGGAGTAACATCAAAGATGACAAAAGACTCAAAAGGAGTGCGACTGGAGATGATTACAGAAAATTATTCCGATGCTAAAATGACTGAGAGATGTTGAATGTGAAGATCAATTTTACAACATTTTGCTCATGAAGACTACCTTTGAAGAGAAAATTTGTTAAAGTTCAATTCTGAAGATCGTTTTAGTTTCTGATCTATATTATCAAAAGAGAAGATCATCGCGATTCTACATTCGAGGGGAGAATGTTAGAAGATTTTTCTCAAACAAATGATTGTCTGAAAATTTCGAGTTGAAGATTGTTTTGAAGAAGACATAGAGTGCTTAAAGCAACAAGGTTCAAACGAGACTCAAAGCGCGAAATTTCTTTCAAGTCTGAATACAAAGGGGGAGAATGTTAGGACTGAAATTCAGTATTAAATTGTATTCATCTTGAAAGTTAATTTTGTCTATAATTGTATTAAAGTCATCATGTTTGACTTTTCATAGGATAGTTTGACTTTGACTTTATCTAAATGTTTGACCCTATATAAAGGGTGTTTCCTTGTAATTTTAGTAAGGAAGCTTATTTGTAAAAATCTCACGTACATAATAAAGTTAACTATTTGACAAATCCTCTCAAGTCTCCTTCTACATGTTCTTATTGAATATCATCTCTGCAATGGATTCTCAATTGTTATATTGAAGATTGATATATCAGGGACTATCACGTAATTTATATTTGGTTTAATAATATAATTTTCTTATAAAGATAATAATTAATTATTTTGTTAGAACTCGATAATTATCCTAATTATATTTTAGAATTTTTATATTTTAAAATGAGATATTTATCCTCATTTGATTATGTTTATCCGCAGTTAGTTACACGAATTCAAAYATGAAGCTTTAATAAGTTGTACGTATGCATAACTTACTTGCAGTCTTGAATTTTGATTAATATGTATCAATATACAGTATTTCATGCATAAAATAGTTTTTGTCAAATGTTTTATAATATAATATAGATGTATCGATGATTTTTATCTCATTTCATCACTTTAGACAGCTTTAGCAATTTGGCTAAAAGCTAAAGGTATATCAGAGACATTATCACTGAATCTGCAAAGAAATGGATGCGATTTCTTGGTCGATGCAAGCAGTAAGTATCCTCGATAACTTTAATAGATTTAGTAAGTACAAGATTTCCATTGGAGCAAGCAGCTCTAATTCACGAATCCGTGCGTTGAAATTCACTGAATCCGCATCGACCCAGCAAGTGTCCGACGAAATGCCTCTGTCAACGGATTCTTTGGCTTGGAACACTGTTATCCAAACCCATTTAGGAAATCTCGATTACTCCAAGGCGGTGACAACTTATCATCGAATGTTATCGCGTGGTGTCCGACCTGATAGGCACACTCTCCCTCGCATCTTATCTGTGTCAAGGCTATCGGGTAGCTTGTCTCTTGGCAAGCAACTCCACGGACATGCTGTGAAGCTGGGTGTCAGTAATGATGTTTATGTTACTGGTGCTTTGATTCAATTGTATGGGCATCTTGATGGCAATGGTGCTGCAAAATGGGTGCTTGATAATTCTGAGAGGAAGATGAGTTCTGTATCTTGGACATTGTTGGCTAAGTTGTATATTATGCAAAATAAACCTGCACTGGCTATTGACTTGTTCAATGAGATGGTAGAGTCAGGTGCTGAGATTGATCCTGTTTCACTGACCACAGCTATAAGTGCTTGCGTTCTTCTAAAATCATTGAAAGTTGGTAGGAACATTCATCAAACAGCTAGGAAACATGGGTTAGAGTTAGATTTGTTGGTGAGCAATTCTCTCATGAAAATGTACATTGAATGTGGTAGTATTAAAGATGCTTGTTGGCTTTTTGATCAGATGCCATCACGAGATGCCATTTCGTGGACTTCCGCTATTCAGGGGTATGTGAAGAATGGACTGATAAACGAAGGGTTAAAATTATTCAGAAAGATGATTACTGATGCTAAAATAAAACCAGATGCAGTAGCAATTTCTAGCATTCTCCCAGCTTGTGCAAGAATGGCAGCCCATAAAAATGGCAGGGAAATTCATGGGTACTTGGTTAGAAATACAGTTCCCATGAACCTCAAAGTTGAGAACGCTCTGATAGACATGTATGCAAAGTCAGGATGCTTGGAGTATGCTTCAATGATATTTTTGAGGATGAAATCCAAAGATGTTGTTTCATGGACCGTTATGATCTTGGGCTACAGTTTACATGGTCAAGGCCATCTTGGAGTTGAATTATTCCAGAAAATTCCAACAATAGATATAGATGAGATCAGTTATGTGACAGCCCTCTTTGCTTGTTGCACTGCCTGCATGGTTGAAGAGGGTATGCATTATTTCAACTACATAAAGTCACCGAAGTTGGTCCATTGTACCTTAATGGTTACACTTCTAGCTCGTGCTGGAAAATTTGATGAGGCAAGAGCCTTTGTTGAGGAACGTAGTATAGCAAAGCATGCCGAGGTAGTTAGAGCGTTGATAGATGGATGCAGGATTCATAGGAACCTCAGCACAGGAAAAAGATTAATTGAGCAGCTATGTGATTTGGAGCCCCTTAATGCAGATAACTACGTAATGATGTCAAATTGGTATGCACAAAGTGGGAAACAGGACATGGTTGATGCATGGAGAGAGACTATAAGAGATATGAATTTGACACCAAAGATCGCATATAGCTGGATAGAGTTTAGAAACAAAGTTCATGTCTTTAGGACAGGGGACGTATCACATCCAAGATCAGAGGGTATATATTGGGAGTTAGAGTTCTTGATGAAGAACTTGGAAGGAAAAGGATTTCATTGGAACCCAGATTTCAGTTTTCATGACATAGATGAAGAGCGCGAGTGTGTCCCAATTGGTCATAGTGAGTTGTTGGCTATTTCATTTGGATTGATAAGCATCAGAAGTGGCACTACTGTTCGTGTGACCAAGAATCTTCGTGTTTGTCACAGCTGCCATGAGGCTGCAAAATATATCTCTAAAGTAGTCAGCCGGGAGATTATATTAAAGGATCCAAACTGTTTTCACCATTTTAAGAATGGGATTTGCTCTTGCCAGGACTTATACTAGTTGGTTTTTAAGACTTGAACATTCCCATGAGTCAAATTAAGTGTCAGACCTCGATAAACAACAAAAGTTAAGCAAGCACAGCCAGATGCTAAGGTCAAATGGATCTGGTTAGATTGGACATCCGTTATACAGTCTCAACTTACTGTATGTGAAAGTTGGAAAGAGACCCAAGGGTCATATTGTGACTGAAGAAGAGAGAACTCTAGAGTTACAAGGAGGCTAAACTGAGATGTTATGATGGCACGAATGAAGAAGAGAAGGTACTTGAAGTTTAATTCATAAACTGTCTATTTTTTCAACTATATTTTACTGAACCTAGTTGTCATAATTGATAACCACAAGATTTAGGAAATGAATTCTGCAAACATTCCTTCTTGATAAGATAAAGATAATTGTAAGATTCATTACGTTTGAACCCTGTAGGGCTGGCTTAGGGGTCGTTTGCCAAACGCGTTTACCTTGGTAAGCACTTACCTTACCGGATAAACATGGCAAGGACCGAGAATTTTACCGTGTAAAAGCAATGCCAAGGATTGAGAGTCGTCGTGGTGACGACTCTTACCCGGTTAGAGCATACGGGCAAATCGTTTCACACGATGTCGTTTTGATGGACTAGAATCATATCTAGTAAGGTAAGTAAGAGTGTTAACTCTTACCAGCAAACGCTGACCGGGTAAGCGTTTGGGCAAAAGGCTCCTTAGTAGCAACTAGCAAGTCACTGGGAATTGGTTTCTCTTGAAGTATTAGGCCGGGTTTGATTCCCAGTAGGTGCTACTGGTAAAGGACGTTTGACACTTGTTATCTACACAGATCTAAAGGCCCAAATTTAATATCTGTTAACTTGCAGGTCCAGACTCAGAGTGGGAAAAAATCAAAATCCTCATTTAGCGCTAGAAAAAAGGGCCAGCCGAAGGAACCTGGGAGATTGTTGAAAGTTGAACTTGTGTTTTAGATTTGTTTATGCTTCTTCATGGAAAGAAACCAAATCTGAATTGCTGTTTTAGAGTTTGGAAAGTGAAAATTGAACCACAATGAGCTGTGTTCTTGTTACTCAAACACTTACCTCATAAGCGTTTGCAGGTGAAATTCAACACTGTCGTTTACTTACCACGTAAGATTTTAGTCTTAGATTTAGATAAGGATCTTTATATATATTGGTAGTTATCTTTTATATTTGATAGTTATCCATTATTTATGTATTATATATTGAGGTGAAGAGATAATGAGAAAAAGGGAATCAAACCATTTATGTCACTATGTATTATTTCAAATGGCATTGTTGACTGGGAAAAAGACAAACCAAACGATAATGCTTTGTGTTTACCCAACTGACACGAATGGCAAACACCATAATTAATTTTACCTACGCTAGAAATTAAACGACTATAAACAAGACTATGTAAAACTTGATCGCCCGGATGACCCAGACGATTATGCCAAAGTGAAGGAGACGTGACTGCAAAAGCTGATGGAGACGGGAATGAAGTCGATGATGTAGTCGGAAGAAGAGGATAAAGTGGACCATCGCTATCACATGGGAGAAGTTTGGTGCCTTGCACAAGATCCTTAACGGAAAAACCAAACGGATCAAATTCAATGGAAACAGAATTATCACGTGTAAATTGACGGACATACACAAGATTTTTGATAATTTTAGGAACATGTAGAATATTTGTAAGTTTAAACGGAAGAAACGGGGGTGGAAGAGATGTCATACCGGAACCCGTAATTGGTAGAGAATCACCATTCCCAACAGTTATATGACGAGCAAAAGAATTATTACTACGGGTAGAGAGAGTACCTTGGTCCGAGGTCATATGAGACGAGGCCCCAGTATCCATATACCACTGATGATCCGGTGGGTTGAGCGTTATAGTGTGAAGAGCCGATTCAATATCCGTAGGAGCAAATTGAGATTGAGTGTCGGCGGTATATGCTTGCTCGGAAGGGGGAGCTGATGAACGAGACATACCGGGAGGAGGACGTGGAGTCCAATGTGGTGCCGAATACCCCATCGTTGGATACGCGGAGGGTGGTATGTACCACTGTTGTTGCTGCCATGGAGGGGGAGAAAACCATGGTGGTCGTGGCCAATATGAGAACCCTCGACCATGGGATCCACAACCACTGCGGCCCCTATAGCCACGCCCACGACCATGTGTGCCACGCCCCCGGAATCCGAACCAATCAGGCTGTTGTTGCATTGAAGAAAAGGACGGATTGGGCGGCGGGGATGGAGTCGCCGATGTGGATTGAGTGAGTAAAACAACAGGCGATGATGTAGATGGTAATGGAACCTGTTTGGCTTTACGTGATTCCTCCAAGGTGAGCATACTACGAGCACGGAAAAAATCTGGAAGAGGATCAGATTGTTGGATAATTGTAGCCACACCGTCATATGCCTCGGATAACCCTGCAACAAGTTGTAACACCAAAGTCTTTTCGGAAACCGGAGAGCCGACATTGGCAAGTTGATCGGCCAAAGATTTGAGTTGTTGACAATATGTCGAGACTGAAGTAAACTCGGACTGATGAAGACGAGAAAATTGACTTTGGAGAAGAATGGCTCGTGAATGCTAATTGTCATGAAACAATTGCTTAAGATGATCCCACGCCTTTTGAGCGATAGAGATCGGTTCCAAAATAGTTTGAAGAAGATCGGAAGAAATCGTACCATAAATCCATTGTTGTACAATGGCATCAAGGCGTTTCCATAGAGCCGGATTAACTGAATCAACCCGTGGTGGGATAATGTATAACATCCAATTTTTTTATATGTCCAATTATTTGCTAAGTATATCTAATTATTAGGTTAAAGAGAACTTATGATTTAGTAAGATTTTAGGTTTGAAATTTTAGAATTATATTTTTTTAAAATATATTAGAGGATTCGGAAAATTTTACGTCGAAAAGATACGTAAAACGGATTTTTTTGGGAGATCTTTTCTGGAATATTTTGTTGGATGTTATAGATTATCTCTTTAGGAACGTGTAGGCGAAAACCTCATAGAAAACGGAGGTCCGAACGAAAAGTTATGAATAATTTAAGTGTTGATGGTCAAAATGGGTACCTAACCGGGCCAACCCGGCCCAACTCGAGTTTTAGCATTATAAATTGGAGTTTTGGCCCATTTTTCTTGTCATTTAAGTCCAGAACTCACACACACACTAGAGGTGCGATTTTCACATACATAGGCTTGATTCAACTCAAATCAAAGAGGAACTACAAGATCTTGGAAGGATTTGATCATCAAGTAAGGTATAATCTATTTTTGCACTTGTTTTTGGTTGACATTCTTGTTTTAKGGATTGCATGTTGAGATAGAGTTAGGGTTTCATATGRGTTTGATCTTAAGTGTATAAAATGAGTGCTTTTTAGTGTTTATGGCTTSAAATRATMATTAGATTCAARARATTATCAAGATTTATGCAAGTTCATCATATGAAYTTTGACTTGATTAAGTCAAMGRTTTGGGAGATAATATAAATGATAAAATAAAKGTTGGATTTTGKTTGTTTATGTCAAATATGTTATATTAAGTTGAGATYCAGAADTTGGAATAATTTGGAATCGAAATGGTTTGAGAAAAATGTTTGAAAATGAGAATGTTGACTTAAGAATGCATTGAAAGTGTGCAGACTTTGAAAATCTGTATAAAATCGTAGAAAAATTCAAATGAGGTGAGGCCAATTTTTTTAGTTAGATATTTGAGTCTAGTTTATTTCTTATTTTATGATCAAGGCATGAATTCGGAGCTTTTCGGTATTATACGGTTGCCCGGTGAGTTATATAGTTAATTRTTAYATATTRATTTGAACATATATATTTTCATATGAATGTTTTTGGTCTTGAATGGAGTCACACGATCTTGATTTGTCTTTGATTCCGTCTCTTGAGTCGATTCCTTATTACTATCTCGGTACATCAGTTTGCTTTCTGAATCCGGATTCGTTATTTTGTTCCTTGAATTTGTACGCCATAGTACGGGTACTACTTCGTGTGGTACACCGGAAGTTTATGGTGAAGTCAAGATCCCGGGTTGGAAGGGTGAGACTTTCTGCAGTTGTGAATACTCATTGCTCGAAGAGGAGAAAGAGCAATGAGTAGGGAACCTTGACACATACCTAGTAGAGGAAGGCGGGCAGTGCGAGGTTTCCTGTAATGTATGATTCTGACTCGGACTTTAGCATGAGCCCGGGAGGTGAAGGACGGGGTGATGCACTGTCCTCGTTATGTTTACCGATTCGATCTCTTGGTTCTTGATATTTATTGGTATTCTAACATTATTGAATATATTTGGTCGTTGAGCATGTCTCCTTGTTGTATTGAGATCAATGGTATGGTGTATTATGGTGATTTGAATATGGAATCCTATGATCTTAGCATTCGGTACGTAATTGTTCACTCGGTTTCTTGTAAGTCTCGGTTTGCATAGGACGATGTCTTGAACTCTTTTATTGATAAGAGTTTATTATGTATGTTTATAAACATGTGCGATATTGATATGTAATACTTAACTATTTAACTCACTAAGCGTTGACTTACCATTTAAGTGGCAACCTCTCTCAAGAAAGAAGACGGATAAAAAGAAAGAACCCGTCGTTTGACTTGAAGATTTATCGAGGATCTTGAAGATATCGATCTTGCTTTTAGGTAAATAGTAGCTTATATATAGTATTGTCTCATATTCTTTTGCTACTTAATTCGGGTTGTAAGTAAAAATCAGTTATATCCGGTTTGGAATTGTGTTTTGGGTGGTTTTATCACTAAAATAGAACGGATATTTCGATGTTTTTCTAAAAATTAATATCCCATATTTTGAGGTTAATTAATGTTATGCCCAGATTTGTGTGTTTCAAAGTGTTGGCCTCTGGTTCTTCATAGCCTCTGGACCGATGCATCGCCTCTGGACCGATGCATCGCCTCTGGACCGATGCTTCACCTTTGGTCCATTTTCATCGCCTCTGGTCTTCTTCCAAACTTAGTCGTTTTATCAACATTTTTTAGATTTTCCATCCTTGGCCCCGATTGCTTTGACAAAACTTTTAGAATAATTAGGATTAATTTTGGTCCCAATAATCAATAAATTATATTTTATTGGAGATTTTATAAAAATTGGTAATTTGGGGTTTGCTCAAGCGAGATGTTACATAATGTGATCAAGAACTTGAAACGCCGTGGCATGGATTTTGAACAACTCGGCCCATGAAGCGTATTGAACATTTTCTGTTTCTAACGTGACAGGGATGAATGTTTTGATATTATTGACCATAAGGGCGGGGTGAAAGGGTGTAGATGAAGAACCAGACATGGATGAAGAATCGGCGACGGTAGTTGAACCAGTCATGGTATCGGATGGCGGCCGACGGTGCCGATTAGAAGGGTTGGGAGGGAGGAGAATGTGTTTTCGGCTCTAATACCATAATAGAATAAATGGTTTGATTCCCTTTTTCTCATTATCTCTAATATATAATACATAAATAATGGATAACTATCAAATATAAAAGATAACTACCAATATATATAAAGATCCTTATCTAAATCTAATATAGTCAACTAAAACGACATCGCATACAACAATTTACCTGGTAAGCGCTAACCGTGGTAAGAGTCGTCACCTTCACTTACCGGGTAAAATTCTCGATCCTTGCCTTCGCTCTAATCAGATAAGATTCTTTGTCCTTGCGATATTCATCCGGTAAGGTAATGTGACTTGGTAAGTGCTTACCAGAGTAAACACTTATGTATAAAATAGAAATTACCTTGTGGCCACGGAAATTCAAATGCGGTGACACCGGTCTACCCACAAAGCAGATGGTCACCCTGGGATTAGTCGACTCGCATAGCGGGTTGGATATCCAAGTTAATAAAAAAATAGAAATTACCTCTATAACATACTAATAAGGTGCCAGCGTGATGCCGCAGTGTGCATCTCAATTTAAAACTGAGAACTTAAATTGTCAATCATGTTTCATATTTTTTTGTTCATCCGGATGCTCGTTGTATACATATACAATTTCGATGAGAACAGATTTTGAATACATGTAAGTTAGAATAGATAATATAGATTCGTAAAAATTTATATACCTGATTCTT